ATTCCTGATTCCCGGTATGATACATGAAATTTGCTGATCACAATAATTTGAAAAGCACGATAATATACTAGGATTTAGCATGAAAATAATGAAATGTTTATCATAAGTTATTTGGACTTTGTATTTAATCATTAAATTGAATATTCATTTTATTCTCGTTGATTAGTCTAAGCATAAAAGTTATTTGCATTTAAATTTATGAGCCACACGAATAACGTGAAGTAATTAATAATATAATTGACGATTATAGAGATTCATTTGTGAAAAATGCGCGTATTGTAGAGATTACGAGTGATGCATAGTGTCAGACATGACAATTTAATGATCGAATATGTTCAATCATTTATCGACAGATCATACTCAAAAAAAATTTGTTTTGTATAATCGATCACGACCAAACAAATCAAATTGATATCATCTTTACTCAGGACAGAATTCTAAAGGATGTAAAAGTTTGCTAATGCGAGGTAGTATTGTGGTTATTCTGTTTCTTAACATATCATCATCTGTATTGACTTCCTGTTACAAGTTAAAAAAAAAAAAAAACGTCGTCATTAAAGCATAAACAAATAAATAAATAGTAAACCAATAACTTACTAAAGTGCTAAGATTGACTTCTGCAACACTATCATCTATTTTAATGATGATTTCATCTTCAGAGTTGTCCTTACTATAAATTTCTCCGAATTGTTTTCTTAAATAATTTTCAGTAGCTTCTCGTAATGTTGATGTATTCAGGGGTGACAATTCCGTTTCCATCTTTTCCGTCTTTGTTTCCACGCGATCATCAATTTCCATGAGATTATTAGAACTTTCGACCATGTGTGAATGTTTTGTAACTACAATAATTTGATTTTATCGTTAATGAAATTTGATATTTATTAATCGTTAACAAAATTATAAGAATTACTTTTTACGGATGCTGGACTGCTTTCAATATTCAGCAATATTGCTAGTACAGAGTCTGCGATATTATCATTCATGGAAGTACCCGACCACTCAAGTTGAACTTGACTTTTGCTAATATGTCTCACTTTAATATTATCCAAAATCTGTTTTTTTTAAAAAAAAATTTTTTTAAAGAATTAAAATAATTATACTAAATGTAAATAATGAGTTGAACTTACGGTAAAAGTGGGAACGTTATCGTCGTCTAAAGTTTCTTCAAGTGGACCATACATCTGTTCCAGATGATACCTTAATAGAGAGAAAGAAGAGTGGTATGCAATAGTTTGCTTTTGAATTATCGCAGAAGTAGGAATCCCGCTAAAATCTTTAAGATCATTAGGATCCATAATGTTGAATTGAAAATCTTTAGATACAATAATTCCGGATACAAGTTGATTTTCACTAGGATATTTTGCCGCCAAGCGACCTATAGCCTTATCACGTAAAATGGTAGTAAGACAAGGTTATATATTTGTTTACATCAAATCAAGAAAAAATTTCATATATAATAATTATCGAGTACCTTTGCCAATTTTTCTCCTCTGAAATATAACTTGACGGTTTCACAATTCTTTGGAGAATAAATTTTAATATTTTCTTCTCGTTCAACATACTTGCTTTGTAAAGCAGCTTTCAATCTAGCCATTGAATTAGATTCTCCATGAACAAGAACCTATTATGTATTTCATTACAATGTGCAATTCCTGTCAACTACATGAAAACATTCAACCTGAATAAAATACAACTCACCACATGAGGAGCTTTAATCTCATCAATGAATTTACTGTTTTGTATATAATCAACATGAGCCGAAAAAGATATGTAATCAACAGACATATTTAATGGAATTTTAGCACCTGACAATGTTGATATTTCTGGTGGTTCTGTCATGGCATGCTATAGATTGTAAACATGTCATAAAAACATCAAAAATGTGCAATAACGCAAACAATTCATCATGAAAGCTTATATATAATAATATACCCGTGCCATAGTCCCATCAACACAATACCCAGTAATAACTAGACCATTTCTTTTATCGGGACACCATCTTTCAAATAATTCACGCGATAATCCACTCTATGAAAAACTTTATTAAGCAAATTGGTTCGAATAGTTGACGATAAAGCTAGAGAGCAGTGAACTTACTTGTAACATACCAGGACTGGCCATCATTACACATGGCCCTACATCATCAAAGTTGTCCATGTTCTTCAAATTTGATATATGTTTAAATACAAAAGGATTGGATATGGCAAATTGTTTCCTGATTTTGGAATTCATCATGTTGATGTATGTCTGATAAACTGCCATACATTTTTTGGCTAAAGAAGATGCGTAATAAATGGGAACAGATTCTAATTCTGGATGTGCTTCCCAATATTCGTCAAGAATCAAGAGTAACTCCTGTGCACGTCCCAGCGCGAAAACAGGCATAAGACAACGACCGCCGCGCTGAACTATATCATGAACCAATCCTTTTTATGATTTGGTTTGATTAGAAAATCTAAAAGGTTATTTTCATGCTTGTTATGTATCTTTGTTTGATGAATCAGAAGAAACCTTACCGGTGAATCGCGCTTCCTTTAATCATATATCATTTAAATAAAATAAATTAATAACTAAATTAAGTTTAGCGTAATGATTCTTACCCTAAATATCAGATAAATCCTAGTATATTATCGTGCTTTTCAAATTATTGTGATCAGCAAATTTCATGTATCATACCGGGAATCAGGAAT